GTTTAGGGTTTAGGGTTTAGGGTTTAGGGTTTAGGGTTTAGGGTTTAGGGTGTAGGGTTTAGGGTTTAGGGTTTAGGGTTTCTCATCCCCAGAGCCCTAAGCCCCAAAAAACAACTCAACCCCTTGACTCCTCAAATCTCTGAAGCCGAAACCCTTTACTTAGTGGCTGAGAAGCCCTAAACCCTAAACCCTAAACCCTAAACCCTAAACCCTAAACCCTAAACCCTCAACCCTCAACCCTAAACCCTAAACCACCAACAAAAACCTATAGACCCGGGACCCGATACTAACATCCTCCCACCCTCACAACCCTAAACCTAAACCAAAAAATGCTTTCCCAGCATCCTCCAAGAAATTCCTAAACCCTAAGCCCCATTACTGAACCCTAAACCCTAGCCCTAAACCCTAGCCCTAAACCCTAGCCTTAAAACCCGAAACCCTAAACCCTGAAACTCCTAAGCTCTTCTTCGCACGAGGCCGAGGCCTGGAGCTCTTCGGCTTGGACTTGAGCAGCCTCTAAGGCCTTGCCATGGGTTTAGGGTTTAGGGTTTAGGGATTAGGGTTTAGGGTTTAGGGTTGAGGGTTGAGGGTTGAGGGTTGAGGGTTGAGGTTTGAGGGTTGGGGGTTGAGGGTTGAGGGTTGAGGGTTTAGGGTTTAGGGTTTAGGGTTTAGGGTTTAGGGTTGAGGGTTTAGGGTTGAGGGTTTAGGGTATAGGGTAGAGGGTTGAGGGCTGAGGGCTGAGGGCTGAGGGCTGAGGGCTGAGGGTTCTTTCGGGCTTGGGATCTAGGGGTTTCGGGCTTCGGTTTTCGTTTTAGGGTCGAGGCTTCAGGGGGCCTCAGGGAGAGTTTAGGGTTTAAGGGCTTTAAGAATAAGCTCCTCTTGACCCCAAGAATGAAGACGATGAACTGACTCAAGGGCCTTCCTAGTCAGTGCTTAGGAAAGCATAAAGGTGTTTGGATTTTCAGGGGTTAGGGTTTAGGGATTAGGGCTTAGGGCTTAGGGTTTAGGGTTAGGGTTTAGGGTTTAGGGTTTAGGGTTTAGGGTATAGGGTATAGGGTATAGTGTTTAGGGTTTAGGGTTTAGGGTTTAGGGTTTAGGGTTTAGGGTTTACTTGTTCTTGTTGGGGGAGGTTCGGGGCACGCGGTTCTGGGTAGGCTGAGGGTTTGGGATTCTCTTAAGCTACGCGCAAGAGGAACCTAGGAGTAAAAAGGGTGCCTTTTTGGTCACTAAAGGGGCAAGGGAACTTAAACCCTGAAAGAGGGGCAAGGGAACTTGAACCCTGAAAAAAGGCAAAAGGGCCTAGGGTTTAGGGTTTAGGGTTTAGGGTTTAGGGTTTAGGGTTTAGGGTTTAGGGTATAGGGTATAGGGTTTAGGGTTTAGGGTTTAGGGTTTAGGGTTTAGGGTTTAGGGTTTAGGGTTTAGGGTTTAGGGTGTCCTAGTGAGGCCTCTGGGGCTTCGGGGTTGAGCAGTGTAAGGCTTGAAGGGCTTTAGGGTGTTCGGGGGTGGAGCTGCGAAGATTTAAACCCTAAACCCTAAACCCTAAACCCTGAGTCCATGGGCTACTGGGCTATATGAAGCAGGGTTTATATTTCTTGTACCCCCAAAAGGACACCAGGTATATACACTCACCAATATTAAAAAGGAGCCTTATATACAGTCACCAAAAAAAGAAATTTAAACCCTGCTTCATATAGGAACTCGGGTTGCATTCCAACTCAACCCCCCGGAAGGGTGCAGGACATTGAATGCGATGGGCTTGCCCTAAACCCTAAACCCTAAACCCGAAACCTGGGGTTCAGGTTCCACACACTGAAGGGCGTGAGGCCTTTTTCCGGACATAGGCTTGCACCTCATCTACTATTTGCAGAAGAACCCCCCAAAAAATGGAAGGCATTCTTCCTCATAAGGGCAATATAGGGATTTGGGATTAGGGATTAGGGTTTCGGGTTTAGGGTTTAGATTATTATTGTTTCGGGGGGGGTTCTTAAGCAAATAGTAGGTCATCTGTCTCCTCCGCGACTGGTGGCGCCACAGGCGCCCTGTCTTTCGAAGAAGGCTCTCCGACCTTTTGGGGTTGAGGTTCGCGGGTTTGGGGTTTGGGGTTTAGGGTTTAGGGTTTAGGGTTTAGGGTTTAGGGTTTAGGGTTTAGGGTTTAGGGTTAGGTTTACGGTTTAGGGGGCTAAAGGTTAAGGGTTTAGGGTTTCGGGTTTAGGGCTAGGTGCAACTGCCTTCCGAACCTGCTGGTTGGCAATCGATGGCAATCGGGCAGCCGGCAAAGGGAGCATTTCCTGGTCGGCCATGGTTGGAGGAAAGTGTGTGGCCGGTGTTGCCGGTAGGGGATAAAAAGTCGCGCGCCCTTGCCGCTCTCCCATGAACCCCATGCTCGGTGGTGCCACATCTGCAAGACTGCGGCCTGTATGCCTTCGTTGCTGAGTTCATAAGCCCCACAAAAATGTGCCCTTTCAGTTCTATAGGGGGTTAGAGTATCCCAAAAAGTGTAAAGTGTACTCACTCAGCTACTAAGATGCTGGAAGCAGCAGGGCAGGAGGCGGCATGGAAGATGAAGACATGAACTGCGCAGCTAGGTCGGGGCCCCGAGAACCGTCGTACAAATCTCCGCCTGGGAGGGAATCCTCTGCCGCCACGCGTACGGCCTCGGCCGCGTGCCACGCAGCTAGGGGATTGGTCTTTGCCTTAGCTGCTAAGTTCAGAAGCCCCACAAAAAAGTGCACCCTTTCAGTTCCATACAAGATTCCAATTTTCCCAAAAGGTTAGTAAAGTGTACTCCTTCAGCTACTAAGTTCTGTTCCCAAAAGGTTAGTACAGTGCACTCCCTCAGCTACGAAGTTGCCAGCATCCCCATGGCATTCGGCGCGCTCTCGATCACCGCCGGCTGCATGCCGGAGACGAAGGAAGGTCGGAAGAAAGGGTTTGCAGCCACCCACGAGTTGACCTTCCTTGGTATCCCGGTAACCATATAAAGACAATCATACTAATAATGATACTAAGAGTAATAATACTAATAATGATAAGAAGAAGAATAATAGGATATAGTAGGTTACCCCCTTTTGGGGGAGTTGGCTACTGTATAAGGCAGCCAGGAACCACAAAACAAGACAGGGCGAAATGGCCCCACAGGGCTACCCAAGCTTCTGGTATTCCTGCACTCCCCGAAGCTCCTCGGCGGCCTGTGATGCCTTGGCCACGGCTTGCAGCGCTGCAACCGTTGGCTCACTGGCTGCAGCCTAGGCCCAAGAGTAACCTAGGAACAAAAAGGGTGCCCGTTTTTAGTTCAAAGGGGATACTATGAGGGAATAAGGGCCTACTCCGGGTCCTAGCAGCTCCACCGCCGATAGCGTCGGGGGAGGAGTGCCTCTGCGTCGAGTGAACGGCTTCGAGATTCCCATCTGGGCCGGGAGGAACCTGCTCAAGTCCATGGAAGACGGTGTGCGGCACCACCATGGGCCGGAGGCTTTGCGCGCTATCCACAGCGAGGACCAAGGCTCCCTCTGGGCACGATCTTACGCGCAACTCGTCGGGTGCCGATGAAGTATCTCTTGCGAATTCCTACGGCTCAGCCATACTATAAGCGATGCTTGCCGTATGAACTAGGGGTAAACTGGTATGGACGACAAGAAGATGACGGTATTCACTTGTTGTGGGAACGCATATCTCATGTGTTGCTGGAAAGGCCCTGGCGTGTGCTGAGTTCGAACCTGATTCCTTTTCTTGTAGCATCAGACAAAAAAAGTGCTGGAAGCGGCACGCAAAGGTCTTCCTCAGCCCTAAACTCTCTAACCCCCAAACACTAAACCCTAAAACCCTGGGCCTTGAAAGCCCAAAGCCCTGAAACCTTAAGCTCGAAACCTTCAACTCAGACCCCCTAAACCGCAACTCTCATCCTTTTCTCCACAAGCTGGGGATGTACGTGATGGGGATGTGAGGAGCCATGACCCAACCAAACACGCCTTCATACATAAGCCTTCGGGGAATATGGACTAAACCCTAAACCCTAAACCCTATACCCTAAACCCTAAACCCTAAACCCTAAACCCTAAACCCTAAACCCTAAACCCTAAACCCTAAACCCTAACCCTAACCCTAAACCCTAAACCCTAAACCCTAAACCCTAAACCCTAACACCGCTACCCTTGCCTCCCCACAGATCCCCACGTTTCTGCTCAAGCTGGTCATGCGTCAAGCTCAACCACTCTCCGCCTGTTAGGATCAGACCTGTTGCGCTCGTATGTGATGCGCCAGACAAGGCCGATGTAGGACCTCATCATTGGCCACCCCTGCATCTTGGCGTACTTTCGCATGGCATCAAAGACTTCGGCCGCAGGAGATGTCGGCCGTTCCAGAAAACTCTCCCGAACAAGCAGCTGCCGAAGTTGAGCATCTGCAGGGGGTAGCTGCCAAAGGCCGGCAGAATTCTTGGAAGCAAAAGCTTCCCTGAGCTTTCCCGACACATCCTTCAACGTGTCGCATTTGCAAGGCAGAAGGTCAAGCTGTCGCAGCGTGGACTTATTGTGAGTGCAGTTGATGAAGACCAGAAGCGCCTCTCGTAAATCAGAGTTCAGTTTGGTGTCAAGGAAGCCGAGTTGTCTCAACACCGACACCACCAGTCTTCTCGAATCCTGCAAGATGAAGGGGCCTCCTCCTGCAAACAACCTGCTGGCCAGCGCGGAACCGAAGTGTCTCCGGCGGGCGGCGGTGTTTGACTTTGGACGCATGGGCACGATCAAGGCACTGTTGCGGCGGCACGGCTTGAAATCGGCAACGCCAACACGCGCAAAAGGTTCATGAAGTTGCTTGATACCACAATGCCCAGGATATACTACAATCGGATCTGAACGATTTGCATTCCAAAACTTTGCTATCGGGGAAATCATGAAGCCATCTAGCTGGTCTGGCCCGCAATAGCCCAGCCCAGTCAAGCACTCCTTGATGCCAGCCAGTTCATCACGGTAGTCAACTTTTGCAATCGGGCAGCACAGCATCACTTTCCCCCGGCCTCCAGAATCAAGGATCACCTTTACCTTCGAAACCTGCGGAGCGTCACGCTTGAGCAGATGCACTTGCACGTGCAGTTCGCGGTACTGGTCTGCCACATGAACACGAGCCTGCGGTACGATGACGATGACCGTCTTGCCAGACCCACGTGCATGCCGCACACATGGTAGGTAATTAGTCGTTGTCAGAGACCAGCAGGGCGATGGTTGGCAAGGACGATCGGACAAACTTGCGAAAAGCTTGGATGATTGCAACGTCACCCGGGTCTCCACCACCGTCGCGCCCCACTGGTCGAAACACTACATTCGGCGTGCGGAAAAGTTCCTGCCACTTCTTATTCTGCCTCCTTCCAGGAGCTGCAAAGATCAGCGTCTTCACCGCGCCTCCATCCGCTGCAAGGCGCATTGCTCGTCTGACTTCATCAATTGTGTGCGAATCTCCGTCCACCAAGAGCTGAACCTTCTTTGCGGCACGTCTGGCCGACAGACTGACCTTGCCCTGCCGGATACCAGCGCGACCAGCGGCGCCTGCACTTGCAAGCAGGAGGCCGACCCAGTTGGGCGCGGAAGTGGCGGACGGAAATCGCCTCCGACCCGTCCTGCAAGACCTGACGCTGCAAGCTGGACTGCGCTCAACGTGCAGCTCGAGGGCACGGGGACGGCCGGGTGCCAGAGCTTCAAGCATCCGGATGAAAGGTCTGGCGCGAAGACTCCGTCACGCAGAGGCCGTCATCCGGGCACTGGAACTCGTGCTGCTGCGCTGAGAAGCCAAAACTGAGACGAGGCTGCCTGCCAATAATTTTCCACGTCCTAAACCCTCCTCGACGGTTCACGGCTAGTTATAAGTAGCCCTTCATTCATCCTAACAAAACCAAGCCCTTGACCCTAAGCCCTAACCCTACACTAAACCCTATCTAAACCCAAATTGGCCCTACATAAGCCCTAAAGATCCAACCCCCCAATCCTTCACCCCCCTCAGCTACTTGGTGCGCCCCAAGGAAGAGAGGCCTGAAGCGCCGACGCCACAGACAACTCCTGGGCGCTTTAAGTTTTGGGGTGTTGGGTTTAGGGTTTAGGGTTTAGGGTTTAGGGTTTAGGGTTTAGGGTTTAGGGTTTAGGGTTTAGGGTTTAGGGTTTAGGGTTTAGGGTTTAGGGTTTAGGGTTTAGGGTTTAGGGTTTAGGGTTTAGGGTTTAGGATCTAGGGTTTAGGGTTTAGGGTTTAGGGTTTTGGGAGAGGGTTCTAGGGTTTAGGGTCTAGCCGCCCCAGAAACAACCCTAAGCCCTAAACCCTAACCGCGCTGCTTGCACGCCTATCAGAGCGGCAACCGCGCCGGCTCCAACCTTTGCAACTTCATTCGAGTGGCCAGCTGACTAACTGAACCCCAAAGCCAAACCCTAAACCCTAAGCCCCAAACCCTAAACCCTAAACCCTGAACCCTAAACCCTAAACCCTAAACCCGAAACCCCAAACCCTAAACCCCAAACCCTAAACCCCAAACTCCAAACCCCAACCCTAAACCCCAAACCCTAAACCGCAAACCCAGGGCTTTGACGGAAGAAGTAGGGACAAGTTTTGACAGCTAGCTTCGCAAATTGCGAGAGGTTCTGTAGCAAAGGCCCTCTAAGGCGGTTTAAGGTGTGGTCCACTAGGGTTTAGGGTTTAGGGTTTAGGGTTTAGGGTTTAGGGTTTGGGGTTTGGGGTTTGGGGTTTAGGGTTTGGGGTTCATTTCTAAGGTTAGTTACATGATCCCTTAGTATGGGCCCTTAAACGGGGACCCCTTATATGCCCCGTTTATACCCCATACAACTGAAGAGCCCATACTTCAAAACCCTGTAAAAAGGGTAAGGAACCATATTAAGGGCCCTGCAACTACCCTCAGACTAACAAACCCCTTACACCCTAAAGACCCGACCCTTAACCCTGAACCAGAACCCTGAACCCTGAACCCCAAACCCGAAACCCTATCAAGACCCCCGACGGGCCTCTTGGAGGAAGCCTTCTCTCTTCTCTGCGAGCTCCTCCTGCGCGCAGGGGAGAGTTAGATTTCGACAGCTTGGAGCTTTGAGCTTAGAGCTTAGAGCTTAGAGCTTAAAGCGCAGAGCCTAGAGCCTAGAGCCTAGAGCTTAGACCCTGGCTTGCTTTCGAGTTTGGGGTTTGGGGTTTGGGGTTTAGGGTTTAGGGTTTAGGGTTTAGGGTTTAGGGTTTAGGGTTTAGGGTTTAGGGTTTAGGGTTTAGGGTTTAGGGTTTAGGGTCTAGTGTTTAGGATTAAGGGTTTACATAGAGCTCCGGTTGGCACTCAGGGCTCGCAGAAAGACGGTCTGGGAATTTGAGATGTTGGGGCACCCGAAACACTTGTTAGGGGAAAATACGGGCGAGCTCAGGGGTCTAGGGATAGGAGAACTATGAGCTGCGGTTTAGGGTTTGGGGTTTGGGGTTTGGGGTTTAGGGTTTAGGGTTTAGGGTTTAGGGTTTAGGGTTTAGGGTTCAGGGTTTGGGGTTCAGGGTTTAGGGTTTGGGGTTTAGGGTTTAGGGTTCAGGGTTTAGGGATTAGGGTTGAAGGTTTCTGAGTCCCCAAACGCCTAGAGCCCAAAGCGTACACTCGAAACCCTGAAACCGAAGCTCGAAGCGATTACCCCTAGATAGTTTAGGGTTTGGGGTTTAGGGCTTGGGGCTTGGGGTTTAGGGTTTAGGGTTTAGGGTTTAGGGTTTAGGGTTTAGGGTTTAGGGTTTAGGGTTTAGGGTTTAGGGTTTAGGGTTTAGGGTTTAGGGTTTAAGGTAAATCTTTCCGTCCTCTTGCTGCCACACCTGACCTTCGAGGTCGTTGACCTTACAGGCACGAGGATTCTTATAGGGTTCTTAACTTAAGGGAGGGGGGTTCATGGGGGGTTCATGGGGGGGTTGAGGGTTTAGGGTTTAGGGTTAAGGGTTTAGGGTAGAGGGTTTAGGGTTTAGGGTTTAGGGTTTAGGGCTTAGGGTTTAGGGGTTAGGGGTTAGGGGTTAGGGGTTAGGGGTTAGGGGTTAGGGGTTAGGGGTTAGGGTTATAGGGGTACCTAGGGAACCTTTGGGTTTAGGGTAGGTACCTAAGGAACCTGAGGGAAGCTTTAGGGATTCTTAGGGTGTAGTTGGGAGCATTCGGGAACCTTGGGTTACAGAACCCCTTGAACCCCCCGCCCTAAACCCTAAACCCTAAACCCTAAACCCTAAACCCTAAAAGATTATGGCCCGAGGCTGCGTGGCTGCTTGTTCGAAGAGGCTGCAACTTGAGCGGCTTTGGAGCTTAGGGGTTTAGGGCGGTGAGGGTTTAGGGCGGTGAGGGTTTAGGGTTTAGGGTTTAGGGTTTAGGGTTTAGGGTTTAGGGTTTAGGGTTTAGGGTTTAGGGTTTAGGGTTTAGGGTTTAGGGTTTAGGGTTTAGGGTTTAGGGTTCAGGGTTCAGGGTTGAGGGTTTAGGGTTTTGGAGTTTAGGGGGTTAGGGTTCAGGGCTTAGGGTGCTACATGGAGAGTGAAACACCACTCCTCCTCCAAGCTACACCCAGAACCCACGAGTTTAAACCCTACACCCTAAAACCTAAATCCTAGGCCCTAAACCCTAAACCCTAAACCCAAAATCCGACATAAGGCGCCGCCAAGCAGCCACGTCCTCGCGGTCGGCGACGCGCAGGCTCCGCTGGATGCACCTGCTGGTGGGGGCTTGAGGGTTTTGCCCTGGACACTAAACCCTAAACCCTAAACCCTAAACCCTAAACCCTAAACCCTAAACCCTAAACCCTAAACCCTACAGGTTATGCGGACGATCCCTACAAGCATTTAGGCAACCCAAGATCTGTCTCGCTAAGCCCCTATAGGGTTTAGGGTCCAGGGCTTAGGATTTAGGGTTTAGGGTTTAAGGCCAATCAACCCCCAAACCCCAAGCCCCAAAGAGAAGGCTACGAGTTCTCGCCCAGTGGCCTAGGTATGTGGTATGAAAGGGTACACGCTTACCGGGGTTTAAACGGGAAGCGATCCCTACAAAAAGACCTGGCCGCGACCCACACCTGAGCCCGAAGGTTGTGCAACAAGGCCCGAAACTCTAAAGGCTAAGCCCTAAACCCTGAACCCGAAGACCCAAACCCTAAGCCCAAAACCTTCATAAACTTTACATTATAAAAACCAATCCTGCACGTGAGCCCAAAATCCTAATCCACCCCAAATACATCCTCCCAACACAGCCTACACCCGATTCCCCGCTGTCAGGGTGGTTTGGGGTTTACGGTTTAACCCTAAACCCTTAACCCTAAACCCCAAACCCCAAACCCTAAACCCCAAACCGGTTTACGGCTCAGGGTTTCCCCATTCTGAAATCCACGGCTAAACCAGGAGGCACCTCTGCTCCAGCTTCAGCAGACGCTGGCGCTCACGGCTCAGATGGGATGAGGCTGAGCACACGCAGGTCTTCCTTGGTTTCATCAGGGATTAGGTTCCCTAAGGCCTAAACCCTCTCTATCATATATAGATTTAAACCTTCGTGACTTTTCGGTCCATCTGCCCCCCGTCGTTCGTGACTTTTCGGTCAATCTGGACCAGTGTTGGTGAGTTTTCGGTCAATTTGACCCCAATGTTCGTGACTTTTCGGTCAATCTGGACCAGTGTTGGTCCAGTGTTGGTGAGTTTTCGGTCAATCTGGACCAGTGTTGGTGACTTTTCGGTCAATCTGGACCAGTGTTGGTGAGTTTTCGGTCAATCTGGACCAGTGTTGGTGACTTTTCGGTCAATCTGGACTAGTGTTGGTGACTTTTCGGTCAATCTGTACCAGTGTTGGTGACTTTTCGGTCAATCTGGACCAGTGTTGGTGACTTTTCGGCCTCAGGGTTTAGGGCTTCAGGGTTCAGGGCTTCAGGGTTTGGGGCCTCATGGTTTAGGAGTTGGTAGGTAAAACTCTCTGGGGTAGGATGAGAACCTTTATGTTCTTAATGTTATGGGATTCTTTGGGCGGGTGGGCTTTTTTCTAAGC